GGCGGCTCACTATGTGTAACGCCATAAATTTCATGAGCATTGAAGCTACGTTTTCCATTCAGTTCTGTACAGGGCCCGGGTGTAATGTGACCCGGTCGCATTACAATATAATCACCCTTCACCAACAAAGCCCATGGCAAATTGACAATAACTCCATCTCTGTAGGTCCATTGCAAGGACACACAGGGTGACAGGGGGCAGCAATTGTGGGGATAATTACATGGCTGCCAATCGGCACACAGCTCAACTTCAGCCAAACGTATATCATTTAATATTAATCGCGTTTTGCGGTAAACCTCAGTGCGTCGCAGATTATTCTCTCGTATGACAACATATAAATCTAAAGATAAGATAGCTGCCAAACAAAACGCTGCTAAATATGACTGGGCGATAAGCAATACCACTGTCGTCAGAAGTGAGGTGGCAATTGATGACCATCCTAAGGGACTATCGTAACGTTTAACAAATGCCGATCGTATCTTGAGGTACCAGCTGGAATTATTAATAAGTGTTAATTAAAATGTCAATAAAAAATGAGTTCTGTGCAAAACACTCACTTCTCTGCCTCCCACTTCTGCTCATATTCCTTGAGAATTTTTTCAATTTCATCGTGTAAACGACCCAAGGCTACCTTTGTACTTAATCCATAGCCTTCCTTGATGTTATTTGGAGGCCCACCACCGTTCTCTTCATTGTATGGTGGACCATCCCCCACAGTCTGATTGGTCTTTTGGTGTTTCGGCATTGCAAGCTTCACAAACTATCCAACTATTTTCCAAAACCAATCATTTGTTTCCTGCTTTCGTTAACAATGTTTGGGGGTATAAATATAATAAATATTCGTTGTATTTATAAATTAAATCATTTTCCTCCAAATGTCTCAAAAAATTTGAGAAAATGTATATATCCACTTTATTGGAGGTGTATGCATAGCAAAGCAATTAGAATTACTTTACTTACCTGTTTTTAAAATAATCCTGTCTAACAAATGTGTCCAATCCAATTCCTTTCTTTATTAGTTTTATCCTATTGGTGTTCAGGAGTTGGTTGATTCTCGTCGTCTCTGCTCCAAGGTTGGTTGTTTGTTGCGAGCGTGTTAACCAAAATTAAAAACGTCCCAACGAAACGAATATGAAGGCCACAAAGGAATACCCGATAAAAAATAAACAGATAGCAAAGACTCGGAGTACTCTGCTGTTTACGAATGAGTGTAATGCATAACGTCCGAAATGGTTCTTTGTTTACGAAAAAGAATTGTTAAAATTCGATCAGCTGTTAGTATTAAAGGGATTCACAGGTCGATTTTTGACAAAATCGATAGTAGATATTACGAAATATTGTTAATCGATAAATTACCGTTTATTAAATAATATGTCATATTTTAGGGAATTTTTAATAAAAAAATTCGAATTAGAAACTTTAGGTGTATTTTTGATTAAATAATTTAATTTTAAGTGATTAACCGACTACCCAAAGATTGCTATAAGCCAATGATCTGTGAGCTGCAAGAATGTGAACGTTTTTACTAGTATAACCGACTTTCTCTTTATGATATCGATACAATTTACAAAACTGGTAGATCCTTGCATAACTAAAGAGCGGGGAACTTGTTGTTTTAGCCTTGTAAGCGTCAGTTGCAGTCACAACCCAGAGAACTATTTTGTCCGAGTTCGGTGCGACTTCGGACCGAAAGTATTATGGAGTGATTTCTTTTGAAATGAAGTCAGCCCGAACTTGCAAGGATATTATTGGAATATTCCGAAATTATAGTTGTCGAAAAGAACTTTTAACAGTTTTCGGCCTAAATTCTGAGGAAAGTTCTTAAGAAATACTAAAGTCTTTGTCGAATAACGCACTGTGTAATAATGTAATGGAAAACATTTGTTGAGAATAAAGTTCATCTAAAAAGTCGAATAGCTTCGTAATTGTAAGCAGAAATAAACACATAAATAAACAGAACGGAATTCTGACATACTCGGTCAGATGCGTCGGACAAAAACTTTAGACTTGAAGCAGGTGAGCCGAACTCCGTCATTTCGTTCGCTGGGTACTAACACTACCAACAACAACACAAATTAACAATGTGGTACGTTCAGTGATCATTTTAATGCCGGCATGTCCATATTAGTGGTGTTCGGTAAATTCATAGTGGAATTAAGGACGTAGTATTTAATCGTTAATGACAATTTAAAATGACTATACTTCCATAAGAACTTACTAAAACGAGTATAGTAGAATACAGGTAGTCGCATCGACGCAGCTGCTGAACCGTCGAAACTACTTTGGAATTGAAAATTTTGAATGACAAATTTTTCATAACAACCTCCGGTTTTAAAATTTTTGACATATCAATGCCACCTGTATTCTTCTACCATGATAAAGGGTAGAAGAAGTATCACTTGCTAAATCGTAAATGGCGATCCTTCTTATACCCTCCACTTTGAAATGTAGGGTATATTAACTATGTCATTCCATTTGTATCATACCTAAATATTCATCGTAGACCCCATAAAGTATATATAATCAGCATAAAATTCTAAGTCGATATAACGATGTCCGTCTGTCTGTTAAAATCACGATACAGTCTACGTTACTTGACGTATAGCTCCAAAATTTGGCGCAACGATTTGTATTATGTCTAGAAATGAAAGAAAAATGTCGAAAATAGCATCAAATTTTAGAATAAGTTTAGATTTGTTCGAATTGGTTCCCCTTGGACCGAATTATGGCCTTCAAACGGTCAATGAAACCGTCACTCGCTGCCCGAATGTTGCTCTGCGGTATTTTGACCCGTTCCCGCCGAAGCGCTTGCTTGAGGTGATCGACGCTTTGGTATTTTTTAGTGCCAACCTTGCTTTCCAAAATACTCCAGATACAATAGTCCAACGGTTTGGTATCCGGCTGGCGCGTGCTGAGTGCGATAATGCTGAATCCTGTCGGAATTTCCAGGGTCTGCGGTCAAAATGTTTGCGTGCCCAAGGCTTTAATACGCCCTCCAGAATATTTTCGCGATAATATTCGGCATTTATTCTGATGCCACGTCGATTAATACGAGCGGAGAGCGGCCATCGGCTGTTATGGCGGCCCACGTCATCACCATGACCGGCGCTTGAGTTCTGGTGACCAAACGAAGGTGCACATTTTCAGCTGACCTCTTTGGCAAGTAAATACGATCATTTTGTTTGTTTACAAACTGCTGGACAACGAATGTTTTCTCATCAGAAAAACCATAATTCAGCGGTTCACCACTTTCGGCCAAGCGAAGCAACTCTTTAGCTCTATTTTCTTTCTGTTGCGGTATAAGTTTCAATGGCTTTACCCCGAGCTCATTTTTCAATGGAATATTGCGATATGTTCAGCTCACGAGCCATTTTTCGGCAACTGCGACGCGGGTTTTGATGAAGTCGTTTTTTTTACTTTTGGAACTATTTCTGCTGATGTTGCTGATTTTTTTTTACGACGTCGGGCTACGCTACCAGTATCACGGTAACAAGCGATGGTACGAGACACAAACGATTTATATGCTGGAGTGCTCTAACGATAGCCACTTGTGGCTTTCCAGCCAAATATAAAGAAATCACAGTATTACGCTTGAACTCCATCACGAATAACTTTTTTTCTGGAAAATTCTCACCAAAATCCTTTTGTACGCCAGTAAACAATATTATGAGCTGTCACTGGAATAATTTTAACAGTTGTCGGACGAGTGGCTTGGAAATGGCAGCAGTCTGAAGTTGGTTGCAAGTTTTTTTTTTTTATCTCGCCCCGTTTTTAACAACATAGTTTTGTGTGAATATATATAAAACAAGTAAAAAAAACATTAAGTTTGGCCGGGCCGAACTTTTAATGCCCTCCACCTTTGGGTGAAGAAAACATTTTTATTGTTGCAAAATGGTAAGGCTTTATCCCTTTATTGTTGTTTTTATAAAAACAACGTTTGTTTATTAGCGGAGAACGATGGTAATGTTTACCAGGGGGTAAGACAGGAAATACCTAGGTTTCGGAAAGAGCCACCTATCCTCATCAGTTCCCTTGCATTTTGTCTGGGATATTCTCCCCAGAAGTTATTTTAAAAATAACTTCTATGACAAAAACATTGTGACGAGATTATAAGCTCAATAGAAGAGGAACCAAAGAATTAAATAAAACTAAAATTTCTTGTAAATCGCACTTATAAACATTTTCATTGTATAAGTGCGGTTGTAAGATTTAGAAGACTTTCCAACAGAAGATTAGTTTAATTTAAATCTTTGGTTCCTCTTCTATAGAGCTTATGATCTCTTCCCTTGGGTAAAAATGCTTTATATTTTCTTGGGCTAGAACATATAAAGCTCGTGATTTTATATTTTTCTTCTAAATAAATTTTCTCGACGCTTTTAGTTGTTGTGTAGTCTTCGAATGACAATTATTAAAGCAATTTTAAGAAGAGGAAAAATATTATGCTTTGAAATCAGATTTATATACAGAGAATTCCCCTAATATAGAAATAATTCAAAACTTTTGACCACTACTGTAGTGTTTGAATACTACTTCTCAAGAGAGCTAGACTGCAGAGAGTCAAAAATCAAAATTTTCACAGAATAATTTAATATTCACCACACACTGCACTCACCACTGACTCATTGAAAATAGTGTTAAGTGTTTGTCCACAGCTGCAAAGGCAAGGAAACAATGGCACATGGATGGCAGACGACAATATTTATGATGATGCTACGGTAAAGAGTAACAACTAGCAATCATATGAGAGAGAGAGAGGAGAGCAAAATTAATGGAACAAAGATATGAGAACGTGTGTTAGCAACAGGAACACACAAGAGCCAGAGAGTGTGGGAGAATAGTAATTTATACAGAAGCATACAATTGTGTGGCAGCATAACAATCAACGAAGGATAGAGGATACACTGGTGACACAACAGTGGCCAGGCTGACACACAGGTACACACTCTGCACTCACAGTTTGCCTACCTTTTTATGCTCTTCTTCCTCTACTCGTCGGGGTGTGTGAGTGTGTGTGTGGTTTCTGCTTTTTGTGTGTATTCGTACGCATAATCGAATCCTGTATTTTATCCTGTATATTGAGGGTGTGACCGGGTTAAATAGAAAAATTTTCATACTTTGTTCGCTGCTCAAAATGTAAAGTTCTGTTTTACGGTCGTCCTCGCCGTGTGATAGTAAAATTTCAAACCGCAGACAAGAAATTCTAAGTGTGTGTCCATTTGTGTGTGTTTTTGCGACCAAAAGAAAAATTGGAATAATTCGAAATATTTCCAATCAGAAGACAAATTGTGAATCAAAATCGACCTTTTTTCAAAATGAAATTTAGAAAAAAAAGATCAATTATCATTGAAATGTTGGCGATTTGTGAAAACATGAAAACCGTGTAACCGAGACGTGCCCATTAAAAAATGAAGAAAAATTTTCCAATTCGTATTGTAATTGAAAAATGCTATGATACATACATAACTAATGTGAAAAGAAAATCCTAAAACAGTGCAAAGGAAAACGCCATGAATTAATAGTGCAAAACCACGGATATATGTGTGCCACAGATACGAATTCGCCTTACAGCTAGAGGCACCCACTTAGCCAACCAACCAGCAAGCAAGCCATTGAGCTAGCTACTCCAGCCCACTCAAAGGAAAATCTACATACATTAGCTCAGCGAAATGGAACAAATCAGCAGCTACATTTGAACAATAGCAGAGGCAGGAAAAAAAGGATACAACAAAACTTGTGTTTATGTGTGTACGTGTGTGTGTGTGAGACTTTTGTACTATTTTTCAATTATTTTAATAGAATTAAGCATAGTAGTCACTCCCTGTCTGCAGGAAAACTTTTCATCGTCACATCACATACTTTGTTATTTTTTCCCATATACAATCCCCTCGCCCCCTCAGCTCCTTAGTTAACTTCCTTTGGAGTACTTCCTTTCTTTGGTCTCCCCACACCCAAATTTTTTGCCAAAAAAAATTGTTCCTGGTCTGGCTGGTCTCATTACAACTAAAGCAAAAAAAGAACAGAGGGTTTTAATCACACCACCTTCACCGTCGCCGCCGCCACTACCACCCATCATCTTCATTATCTTCCATCCAGCCATCCTCCATGCATGATGTCCTTGCAGTTCTTAAGTTGCAATAGTTTATACATCTCTACAGTTTCGTTGTTGCTGTTGTTGGTGGTTTGATACTTTCGTCTTTTGAAGTAACTCTGGCGCAGAGATGCCAGGTCAACAGAAATCCCAAATGTTGAGACTTCTCTTTCCTTTTTGTTAGCCTCTTTCTGGGAGAGTGTTGTGATTCCCCGAAGGACTAACACAAAACTAAAACTACCCACCATCGGTATGCGGTGTGAGGTAGTCTGCAAAGTACTCAAACATCAATTGTTTCTCACATTCGTCTGTTCTCTCAAATACACAACATGGTTTGTGTATTTGTAAATATTACTTAAAAAAAAATATCCTAATTTTGATTTTGCATGTAAAAAAGGTTTCGAAACATGTATTGGGTTGTTGAAGTTTGCCGAATTTTAGATGGTATATACGTTCTTCGTACGCCAAGGGTTTTGTTTGAATCGAAGTTGATAGAATCCGGGGGATTAAGATTTTTTTTATGGAAAAATCGCTTATTAAGGTCACTCTTTCAACTTTTCTTAGTCTAAAATGGAAGCTGAGTTATTTGTCCGAGAAATATAAAAAATCTGTTTTCAAAATGCTGTGAAATATGCAATATTAGGAAACAGTAAGGAAAGGACGAAAGCCGGACTATATGTATGTCATACCAACTGCGATCGGTAGGAAGTGTCTAGCCACAAGTAAAATTGCCTAATACTTCAAGGAGAAGAGTAGTTTCTCTTTTTATTGTGGTGGGACCTAGTCGATCGATTTTCCTTATCTAAACTAAGGAGGTCCATCTCTCATCGAAAGGGTTGACCCGAATCTGGTCAGCTATACCTCAATCTATTGGGCACGTACTTGGCAGACTTTTGCTCTGTTCCAGAACCTGCAAAAATCTACTATTTTTATTGGATATCGTAGTAAAAACTTTTACTATCTTGCATCTGGAACTTTTACTTCGAACTTGCTAGTGTGGTGAAAAATCAACTTATCGCATATCAAATTTACTATTTATTATTCAAATTGTTGCCCCTCTATGGAGTAGGTTCTGAAGGAATGGGCCAATAGTGTCCATTTCGTATCGGACCTAAATAAATATGATATAAATATTACGACGTGCCAGGCTTGGACTATATCCACTACTTCCATCACCTTATATGAGATATGTGATAATTTTTATAAAATTTTAAATGTACGTGAGGTACCAGTTACAATTGACCGAAGTATTCAATTTTCATACTTCATCTAATACAGATAAAAATATAGGTATGAGAAAAATTACAAGGAAATCGAACATTTGTATCCCATTTTTTCCCGAATTCATAAACTCAATATTCATCTCATGTTTCTGGTTGAGAGAAATATTTAGATATAGCAAGTTGTAAAGAATCGCTGACTTGTTTCGCAAGTTATGACAGAAAAAGGTATTGAAAATGAAAATCTTGTGTTGATGGAAATATTGAGATGTGCTAAGTCTAATTGGAATCGGATGTTAATTTCGTGTTTTATGAGATTCATGGATATTCAAAGTGTTGACCCTTTGTGGAGGAGGTACCAGAAGGAGTGTATAGGTCCATCCCATCTTCACAGCAAATCTTGTGTTAGTAGAAATAATGGGATGTTTGAAATATGAAGAGAACCGGATGCTTATTTCGGATTTTATAATCGTTTTGTAGGGAAGGTACCTTACGGAATGGTCCGATCTCTACCATTTATATAACAGAGCTTGTGTTTATGGAAATATTTAGATCTGCCAAGTCTGGATGTTAATTCCGTGTTTAATATCCAAAATTTAATTTAATATTCAAAATTTTAACCCTTTGTGGAGGAGGTACAAAAGGAGTGGACCGATATATTCCATCTTCACGCCAGACCTTGGGATAATAAAAATATTGTGATGTGTGTAATTTGAAGACTATCGGACTCTTACTTCACATTTTATAAGAGTTATAATTATTCCAAATTTTGATCGATATTGTCCATTTTCGCACGAGACGCAGCACTGATGCAAATATTAGGATATGCAAAGTTCCAAAAAATCGGACTATTCTTTCTCTTTCTGCGCAGTAAAATATTTTTTTGAAAATTTCGACATTTTGTGGCGGTTGTACAAGAACGAGTGGATCGATATTGCCCATCTTCGAACTCGATCTAAGTTTGATAATAATATTACGATGTACCAAGTTTGGACGAAATCGGATGCTCCCTTCGAGAGTTATCGAGCGAACCAGCCAGCAGACAGACGAACGGACATCGCTGGTCGACTCCAAATGTCCTGAAATGGATTTGGTCCAAAGAGCACCCTAAGTCTCTAACCGTTATTTCGATGAGAAACGTTTTGGGCCGTATGGCTGGGAGTATAAATATAGCAAAAATATCGAAAGTATACATTAAAGTTGGCCAACCTAAAATCCTTTGTATATTACGAAACAGTAGGCCGGCGTCTTATGTTAGAAAAAAATCCTCCTATGTGTTCTCACCTTTAAATGTCATGCAAATTTGATCATAAAAATAGGTTCAACTTTTGGTATATATCGGGAGGTAAACCAGCACGCATTTCCGGTGAATAATAACGCTAAAATCATCAAAATACCGAATATAGGGAGGTACCGTTATATGGGGCTACATGAAAACATGGACCTACTGGAAAAATAAACATGTATGGAAAATTTTAATCTTCTATCTCAATTCGTTCAAAAAATAGGGTGATTAAAACTGACGGACAGACAGACATCGCTAAATAGACTTAGAATTTTACGCTGATCAAGAATATATATACTTTGTTTGGTCTGACATGAGTATTTCGAGGAGTTACAAACGGAATGACAAAGTTAATATACCCTCCATAGTATGGTGGAGGGTATAAAAACCTTTAATATAATATAAAATTCATAATATAAAATTTGATATATTAAAGTATATTACCTACCAACTTCTCCAGAGATTGTGAGGTGAATGTGGCAAAATCAGATCTGTAGCATATACTGTTGCTGTTTTTTCAAATTAAAAATAGTTTTGATGGAAATAAGTTTATAAATGACATTTTCTGTTGAACCATGAACCAAACCAGTTGACAGATGTAACTCGAAGCATCCCATTTGAAATGTGAACTATTCCATTTGTAATTTGATTTTATTTAATTTATTTAATTTGAACACTTTCATTTGAAATTTAAATTATTCCATTTCGCAACTTAATATTAAATATTTTATAGCAAAAGATTTGTGAAGAAACACTTTTTCCTTAGAAAATTAAACCTAAACCTCCAAGGACTACGATGACACAAAATAACAAGTAAAAAAGTGGACATGCATAGACTGTTGTACCCATTACAAACTTCGAATACGATTTAAACTAATTCGGATAAATAATGTCGCTAAAATCGTCAAAATACCGAATAGCGGGAGGTACCGTTATATATGGAGGGTATATGAAAACGTGAACCGACATGGTCAATGTACGAACTTAACCTGCCTACTGGCAAAATAAACATCTCAAATAGCCTTCTACCTCAATTCGTTCAAAATATAGCATGATTACAACAGACAGACGGAAATCGCAAAATCGTCTTAGAATTTCACGCTCATCAAAAATAGATATAATTTGTAGTGTCGAATGACAAAGCTAGAATGGTGGAGGGTATAAAATCTGACCAATATTTCGACTTGTTAACCGTGGGTCAAAATAAAATTGATGCATGTTCAATTTAAATAAATTTAAGCAATTGTTATTGTACTACAATCGTAAATGTTCGGCTTTTTGCAAAGCATTTCCTGTTTACATTACTCCCGAACTGTGTTCCACAGTTAAGCAAATAACAAAGGAATGGTAACACTGTTACTTATTTTACTTCCGTTTTTTTTCCTCAACTAGGAGAGAGGAACATAAACTATTTTATCTCTTGATACAGACAGGAAGCAGATGTAAAGAGCAGAGATACACATGTCCACAGCGAGAGTAGAGAGAAAGAGACATACACAATATGAAAAAACCACATGAGAGCAATAGAAGAAATTAGGAGCAAAATAAAACCAAAGGAGACAGAGTGGGAGAGAAAAACAGAACTCTGTGCGCACAAACTAATGCAATTATGATGAGTACAATTGACAATTGTTTCCGTTTGTTTTTTCTTGCTTTTCATGTTGTTTGCAAAGGAGTTCCGTTTCTATATTTACCTTTTGCAAGCATTTACTGAACCGCTGAAGCGACAACAACAATGGTGAAGAGACAAACAACAACACATAGACACACACACGAATACTCTGACAAGCCCACATGTCCTCGTTAATGTTATTCAATTTGAGGTCCATGCAAAAACAACATTCAAGTATATTTGCGCTTTGCGACCGACCATTGTGTTTGTTGTGTGACCAAATGATTCGTTTCGTCTAAGCTGGTCGGTGCACCACCTACATAGCACCCCGCTTGCCATGCGGTTGAGGTGTGTTTGTATGTCCTTTTTTCATGACGGAATGAAATTTATGACAAATTTTCCATGCATTCTAGGTTAGTTTGAACAACAACAAAACGAACGAAGGATCATAATTTATATCATTCTCTACTTAGGGTAGAGGGTGCGATAAGTTGCCTTTTTCAAACAATTAGTAAAGTAGGATAATATTACTAATATACATTCATTTTAAGGCACAAAATTGAAAGGATCATATAGTTGTTCTTAAAAATTAAGACTTTTATTTGACATAGCTAAAATATAAAGTTTTAATACCAATAAACGTTGACTGAGTGCGTCGAATTTTAGGTAAAGTTGGTATATGTTGGTGATAACACAGGCATCTATCCTTGACCTAGCCTTAGTATATATCATGGTAAAATGTATTAAAAGTTCGGCCTGGCATTACTCCTTTTTACTGGTTTTTATACCCTCCTCCATACATAGTATGGAGTATATATTAAATTCGTCATTCCGGTTCTAACTCATCGGAATAATAATTTTAGACATAACAAAGGATATATATTCTTGTTTAGAGTAAAATTCTAAGACCATTTAGCCCTGTCCGTCCGACCGTCTGTCAAATCATGCTAGACTCAAAACGAATAAAAATAGGAAACTAAAATTTTGCACAGATCAGTCTTTTGTCTGTAGGTAGGTCAAGTTCGAAGGTAGGATATATCGATCCACGATATCGTATAGCATCCATATAACGGTACCCCCTGATATTCTGTATTTTGATGATTGCAGTCACATTTTTCAATGGAATTGTCTTTGTGGGTACTTTATTTTTTTTCTGTATAGGTTCACGATATCGTATATCCCCCATATAACGGTACCCCTAGATATTCGGTATTTTTATGATTTCAGCCAAAATTTTCCATGGAATTGTCTTAAAATCCACACAAGAAGTTCCTTCTGAGTACTTTACCCTCTAGAAGCGAAGTGTTTAAATAGGCCCTCGTTTCAGTATAGCGCCCATATTACGGTACCCGCAGATAGTCGGTATTTGATTTTTGCATTATTCACCGGAATGGTTTCAAATTTCGTATATAAAGTTCGGAATCGTTACTACAGCCTATAAAGAAAAGTTAACTGTAAAATTTTAGGTTTGTTTAGAATTTAGATTTGTTTAAAAATGCACATTTTTTTTCATTTTTTTAACAAAATTTTATGCACCATTCTAACTATCCATCTGCACCAGTTCGATAACACTTAATTCAAAATCAATTTTTTTTCCGAAAAGGAAAATCGAAAAATTATTATTTTTGCACCAAAAGTGCAAGATCTTCTGTTCTAAAATTTTCAGACGAGCATATTAGTTAAACCCCATGCACAATGGTTCAACATCCAATTTTTCCGGAAATTTTATTCCATCCCTTCATCCTATAAAAAAAGTATTACTATTTAGTACATTTCGTACAAATATAGCTCACATTTTCAAAACAATCTCTATGTCTCAATTCCAGATATCAACAGAGACATCTGTAAAAAATTTCAGGATTCCATCTTTACCCACTTCATCTAATACCCACTTTAGTACTTTTCGAACAGCTTTCGTACACATTTCCGAAACCACTTCCATATTTCAACCACAGATACCAAAGTGACATCTATATCACATTTCAGAATCCAGTTTAATTTTTTCACCCAATATAAAATGTAGTACTTTTTGTACAATTATAATACACACTGCCAAAACCACCTTCATATCTCAATTCCAGAGATAGAAACGTGGTTTTGAATCACGCATTTCCCATTTCCCAATTGCCAAATCTCAATTCCACATACCAACATAGACCCCAATATCAAATTTGAGGATTCCAGCCCTATCGCTTTACCCAATATCAAATTTTGTACCATTTAGTACTTTTCGTACAAATATAGGACACATTTCCAAAACCACTTCCATGTCTTAATTTCAGATACCAACAGAGACTCCAATATCAAATTTGGCAATTCCAGCCCTATCGCTTCACCCAATACCAACTTTCGAACCATTTAAATATTTTTGTACAAAGATAGAGATAGCATCAGCAGTCTAAATATCAAATTTCAGAATTTTCATCCATTTTGCACTTTTTGTACAATTATTATCAAATTTCAATTAATATCAAATTTCAGATTTGTAGCAAATACACTACTATTTTGTACTTTTAGTGCACTTGCAGTATCCATTTCCAAAAACCACCTCTTTATCACAATCCAACCAACTGTAAACCAAACTGTTCCAAAATGGTACTACATCCATTTTGTACAGTTCGCACACTTAGTACACATTTTCATACATCAAACTTACATTCCAACCTTGATTCTCATACCAAATTTTAAGTTTTTAGCTCCATTCGTTGAAATAACACCAAATGGCAAAATTTTAGAAGTTTAGTACCATTTAATAACTTTTCGTAACTTTTAAGTTTGCATCTATCCTGCACTTCATCATTGACTCTCATTCCAAATTATTCAATTTTTAGTACATTTTAGCACTTTTCGTGCCCTTTTAGTACGAATTTCCCAAAAAAGAATAGTTTTCCAAACAAGACTTCATACATTATACTATCCTTCCAGTCCGATAGTATATTTTAGTACTTTTTGTACTCTTCTAGTACGAATTTCCAAAAAAAAACACGCCTATGCACCAAAACGGACTCTTGTGCAAATTTTCAAGATTCTAGTCTCAACCGTTTCGTCTGGGTCTTGATTCTATATCATATATATAGATAGTGAACAAGCGACTATGTGAAACGGAAACGTTTTAGTTATTCGAAATTTTGACCCAGAAGAAATGGTCCGACCTCTACCATCCTTATAACAAGTCTTGTGTTCATAGAAATATTAAGAAGTGTTAAGTCTGAATGGAATCAGACGTTAATCTCGTGTTTTATGAGCTTCATTGATATTTAAAATTTCACCCTTTGTGGGGGAGGTACCAGTAGGAGTTGGCCGATATATTCCAAATTCACACCAGACCTTGGATTAAAAAAAATATTCTGATATATGTAATTTGAAAACAATCGAACTCTTATATAACATTTTATAAGCGTTATAATTATCAACATTTTGACCCATTGTGGGGGAGTTACTTGATGGAGTGTACCGATATTGTCCATTTTCGCTCCTAACCTAGCACTGATGCAAATACTAGAATATGCAATGTTGGAGCAAAATCGGATTATTTTTTCTCATTCTGTGCAGTAAATTATTTTCTTCGAAAATGTTGACATTTTGTGTGGAAGGTACCAGAAGGAGAGAACCGATATTGCCCATCTCCGAACTCGATCTAAGTTTGACAATAATATTACGATGTACCAAGTTTGGATCAAATCGGATACTCTCTTTGAGAGTTATATAGCGCACCAGCCAGACAGACAGACGAACGGACATCGCTAAGTCGATTCCAAATATCCTGAAACGGATTTGGTCCAAAGAGACCTAGGGTATAAAATTGTTATTTCGATGATGCACGTTTTGGCCGTATCAAATGATATATACCCTCTCTAGCCAAATGGCTGAGGGTGTAAAAATAGCATTTTTGTTTTCCCTTGAATGATGGCTTTATTGGATAGCGACTCCAGTGGATGCTCGTGTACACGACTAATTACAATCAGCATATAAGTCAATGAGAACCTTGTAACCGTGATATATATTTTTTGCCTAGTTAAATTTATCTATTAAAAAGAAGTAATAGCGTCGCCAGATTTCTCTATGTTCTCTTCAATTTTCGGGCGAGTATGGGAAGGGTGTTAATTTTTTTGCCTGATCAAATAAATACCATCTCTAACCATAAGGCTGAGGCTATAAATACAACACTTTGATTTGTAGGGTATCACATGGTCGACATTTTCTAATTTGTTGAAACGATTACGATGACAGATAACGGTATCAACGACTCTCATGCTGACAAATGTTTAAGATGTTAAAGACGTCGAACAATGATGATGATGTCGACGACGACGACGGACACCACCAACAACAACAACAATTAAGAAGAAGAAGAAGAATGGGACCAACAAAAACACAATTTAGCCTAGAAAGGCATGAGGATAACAGCTAACGGTGATATACTAAATGTTTGTGAGATAATGTGTGTCGTACACACTTACATAAGTGCCTATGCGTCTCGCTCGCTCTCTCTCTCTATATATATTTTTGACGAGTATGGCATGTGTGTGCATGCCTCTGTGCAAGTGTGTATTTTTAGATGAATGAATGTAAAATAAATTGTGTTTTAAAAGTAAGGATAAAGGACGTGAGTGGCAGGGTGTGTGTGTGTGTTTGCTCGCATTTTTAAGAGGCCCTTTCATATGCAAATGTATGTCGTCTGTTTATTTGACGACTTTTGTCTGACAGTCGGTCTGTTGTCCTCTTTATTGTAGCAATGATGAAATGCAGCAGTGGCAATAATGTACCAAAGAGGATACCCAAAGAGCAGCAGCAGCAGTAGAAGAAGAAGAAGAAACAGCAAAAGAACTTAACTGTGTACTACTTTGTATAAGTATGTGTGTGTGTCTGTCTGTCTGTCCGTCTATTTGCTTGAATGTGAGTGTTTATATTTTCTGAGCAAACCACCGCCACTCGTTCTTTGGTCGTTCTGTTTATTGGCTCTCATTTGGTTTGTGGTGGCAGTCGGGCGGCCACGACATTCGGTCAAATCCAACAAAAAAGGAATTCCTAAAGAGGATAAAATCAACAACAACAACAGCGGCAACATTATCCAGAGTAACAACTGAAGTTCGTGAATATTTTGCCTCGCCTTCTTTTATTTGTGTGTTTTGTTATTGTTGTTACTGTTGTTGTAATACTAGTCAGTTGATTTGTTGTTTTCTCTTTATTTTGGGATCATTGACACTTATCTTGGCAGTGTTAGAGTCAAGAGGCCAATATTTTCTCAAAAAAAAAAAAAAAAAAAAAAACTCAAATTTATTTGCCATTAAAAGATTAATGCTCCTCAAAAAAAAAAAAACCGAACCGCACATAAGTAAATAATCGATTGATTGCCTATTTCTTCTTCTTTTTTCTTCTTATAGCTTTTGGACACAGTATTGGTTTGTGGCAAACAGAAGTGAATGAACACTCCATACGTTCTGGTTTATCTTAAGAGAGGCTCAACGAACAGCCAAGACACCACACCAGCAGCCATAAGGCCGGAAGAAGCACCACCACCCCTCAGCACCAGTCACTGCCACTAGAAGGTCTGAAGAAGCACCACCACCCCTCATCACCTGTCACTGCCACTAGAAGATCACACACGAACTCACACACACACAGAAGTAAAATCTCACAATGGGTGACTATCATGAGTATACGGATCAATACAAGGTGCCGGTTATTGCCAAACTGCTGCATGCCCTGCCTCACTACAATATAACATTCCATAAAATTAATAGCACATTTCGGCCAAATGATGAAATCTACTTGGAGGTGAGTTTTTTTATACCCTACCTTACCACACATAGAGGTAAGGGTATTATGTCTTTGTGCATTTGTTTGTAACATGGAGAAGGAAGCGAGATACACCCATAGCTACTTTTAAGGATATTCATAGAATCATTTTTAATCGATCTATGCATGTCAGTCCGTCTTTCCGTCCGTCCGTCTATGCATTCGTGTCAACAAAATGCAGGTAGAATTTATTTTCCGATTGAGATGAAATTTTCCAAACAATATTTCTTAGGCCCAAGGACGAACCCTATTGAAATTGGCGATAATCGGTTCGAATTTAGATATAGCTCCCATATATACCTTCAACCGATTTCGGTGTAATTGTGCACCACATGACCAATATAAGCCCAAAGGACCTAAATTTTGGCACATCCCACCGAATTCAGTCTAGAAGCAAGTACATCGAATTCAGAGAAAATCGGTTCAGATATAGCTATAGCTCCCATATATATGTTTCATCCGAATTGGGGTTTAAAGTCCCTCACAAGTGTAATATGCATTCCACAGAGATGATCTTTGGTACCAGATACAGCCCAGAAATACTTCTGCCAAATTTCAATTGAGCACCAAATGGCCAATATCCGACCAAATGACCTGAATTTTGGCACATCCGGTTGAATACGGACTAGAAGAAGGTACATCGAATTCAGAGAATGTGTCTTATAGAGCTCGGAAATACCCTTGCCAAATTTTATCGAGATCGGCTAAGATTTGGATATTGCTCCCATATATGTATCCTTAATACTAAAATTGTTTCCAACGGAAACTTCAATTCAGAATGACTGAATGGGAATTTCCAAAGGAAAACTTAATTTCGATCAGGCTGAATAGGGGATTACCATGGGAAAACTTCAATTTAGACCGGCTGAATAAGCTATTCGTCATAGGAAAAATTCCAACTTGCCCGGCTGAATGGGGTTTTCCATAGGAAGCCTTCAATTCGGCCCGGCTGAACAGGGCTTTCCGTAAAGAGACTTCCTAAACAGAAAACTTCAATTTAGCCCTGGTAGATGAGGTTCTCGATAGGAAAACTTCTATAAGAAGGCTTCAAGCTAGATGGGGTTTCCTGTACGGTAACTTCAATCCAGTCCAATCCAGAGAATTCTTAGGAAAACTTCTCAGGACCTATGTGTTTTTCTGAAGAAAAGTTAATAATTTTTTATATTTCCAGAGCCTGGGAATTTTGGGCTCTGTGCCAGCTGCCCTGCTCATCGTCTCACTATTGGGTCTCCTGCTTTATTTAATGACAAGATGTTGCGATCGCAAACCCAGACCTGCCCATTCAATTACCAGTCTCAAGGTGGCCCTCTCCATTGTGACGGTAATGTGTTGTGCTGCCATTGGATTGGGTAAGTAATATTTCTAAACATCTCTTGAAACTATTTATGAACTTCTCTCTCTCTCTCTCCCTCAGGTTTATATGGAAATGATGATTTACACAATGGTTTATTGGAAGTTTTAACTGCTGGACGTAAGGTGGACACATTGGTCACAACGGTACGAAATCAAACATTGATTTTGGAAAATACTTTGAAAAATCGCATCCGACCTCAGCTGGTGGAGCTGGCCGATATATTCGATCAACCGGTGACAAATTCAACAGCTCTCTCTATACTCTTTGTATCGTTGAATATTGTGCAAGGTAATGTCACGCTGGCAACCAATGCGGCCAGTGATATACGGAGGCCATTGACAAGTGTTACCATGACGAAATTTCTTTCGGTGAGTAGGAAAAAGTCGGGAAGAAGATATGGCTACAATTAAATGTTTTTTGCTCTTTTAGGAGGGTGATAAAATGGAATTGATACGATGGCCCGGAACAGTGGCCACTCTGGCTTTGCTTTTGGTCTTGTGTGCTGTGCTACTGGTGGGAGTGGCCCGCCACTCCCGCTGTGCTTTGATTTTGTTCAGTGTCTGCGGTCTATTGGCTGTCACCGGCTCCTGGCTAATGTCTGGCCTGTATTTATCCTCATCGGTGGCTGTGGGTGATCTTTGCATTAGCCCAGCGGACTTTTTGGTCTCAGTGGCACCCCGTGATCTTCCCACCAATGTATTGCTGCACTATACCCAATGTGAACCCGGACACACCAATCCCTTTACACAACGTCTCAGGGAATCACAAAATTCTCTCAACAATGCTCGCAGTGCCATGGCCACGGTTATGAAAATCTCATTGGTGTTATTCAAATCCTCCGGATTACAGCCAAAATTGGGAGCAGTTAATGCCGATTTGAATAGCAGCGAACGTCTGTTGACCCAACTGACAGCCTTGGTGGATTGTAAAACTGTGCATCACAACTTCCTGGCCGCGTCAAGGGGTCTGTGCGAAGGTGGTCTCCTCGGACTTGTCCTAATGCTCATTGCCAGCTTTATTGCTGCCATTTTGCTTACCATCATGGTTTGGGTCGATTCACACACATGGATCTATATAAGGAAACGCAATGACTATGCTCAAGTGGATGAACCCTCTTATATCTCCCACCCTGCCCCGCAGAATCACCAACAAATGTTGAATGCCTCCCGTACCCTGCCCAGGAACCACAATGGGTGAGCGCAATAAATGAGAGTGATTTTATTTAAATTCTGGTTGCAATCTCTTTACAGGCACTTTAGTCCACCGGTGATCAGTGGCTCGCACACCCTGCAGCACCCATCGAAGCGTCAGCAGCACGAGATGATGGCTCACGTGCACATGCAGCAGAATATGAGGGCTATGGGCACGCATACGCTGGGTCGTTTGCCGTCGCACAATCATAGCCCCACACACCTGACTGGTAAGTTGGAATGGCCTCTCTGTCTCTAACTCTCCTGTATCTCTCTCTGCACCTCTCCTTGGCTATAGTCTTCCGTCTGTGATTTGGCGAGCAATTTGCTTATTTTCCTTTCTTCTCTTTCGTTTTTCTTTTAGGCCCAAATAACGGTAAATATGCAACTTTAAGCAAACAATGCAAAACTTTGGAAGCAAATGATTTTTACTGAAAATCATCATCAGTCTGTAGCGATCCCAACCGAAGTCAACAGGCGACGTCACAGCAGCAGCAACAATCCCAGATGGCTCCCCAACCAATCTATTGTCACCATCCTCATCCACATCCTCACTCACACGAAGCCGCCGCAGCCGTGGCCGCTGCCCAGCATCAGCACGCCATCTATCATCAACAACAGCAGCAACAGTATGGCACCTATTCCACAGCGGCCCATGGACAACATCATTTGGTGGCGGCCGGACCACACGGACAGCAGAGTCAAATATATCAACAGATACCGCCGCATATGGGTCAAATGTCTCAGAATGGTGGCCAGGCAAATCCTCATTCCATTTACCAGCCATTAGTTGCTGTTAGCCAGGGTTCCATCTATGTCTCAAATTTGGCCACAATGCGTCGTCAGAATTCGCAACAAAGTAATGCCGGCCATCCTCAGATCCCCGGGCATCATGGCATGTCACAGCAACAGGGTGGCGGGCGAATGCTACCAACATCACATCATCAGTCGATCAGTGTGAAATCGCCACAAGATGGCATGCGTGATCCCTCGCGATCCGAGGCAATGGATACGGCTATATATGATCGTGAGAAGGGCATATATAAGTGTTCAACTCTGAGACAGGGTGGTAAATTTGATCCCAAATATAAACCATCGATTTTGAATTGTCCACTGCCAGAAATACCCAAAGATGCAGATCCACCCAGTGTGGAATCAATATACGAAAAGCAACGACAGCAACAGCAGCAGAACTATTCCAAGTAAGTTAGGAAATTTTTTTGTTTTGATAAGCCAGGCTGAATAGAAGTTGTCCTAAAGGAAACTCTATTCAGCCAGGCTGAATAGAAGTTGTCCTAAAGGAAACTCTATTCAGCCAGGCTGAATAGAAGTTGTCCTAAAGGAAACTCTATTCAGCCAGGCTGAATAGAAGTTGTCCTAAAGGAAACTCTATTCAGCCAGGCTGAATAGAAGTTGTCCTAAAGGAAACTCTATTCAGCCAGGCTGAATAGAAGTTGTCCTAAAGGAAACTTTATTCAGCCAGGTTGAATAGAAGTTGTCCTAAAGGAAAATTTATTCAGCCAGGCTGAATAGAAGTTGTCCTAAAGGAAACTTTATTCAGCCAGGCTGAATAGAAGATTTCCTAAAGGAAACTCTATCCAGCCAGGCTAAATTAAAGTTTTCATAAAGGAAACTCTATCCAGCCAGGCTGAATAGAAGATTTCCTAAAGGAAACTCTGTCCAGCCAGGCTGAATAGAAGTTATCCTGAAGGAAACTCTATCCAGGCAGGCTGCATAGAAGTTTTCCTAAAGGAAACTCTATTCAGCCAGGCTGCATAGAAGTTTTCCTAAAGGAAACTCTATTCAGCCAGGCTGCATAGAAGTTTTCCTAAAGGAAACTCTATTCAGCCAGGCTGCATAGAAGTTTTCCTAAAGGAAACTCTATTCAGCCAGGCTGCATAGAAGTTTTCCTAAAGGAAACTCTATTCAGCCAGGCTGCATAGAAGTTTTCCTAAAGGAAACTATTCAGCCAGGCTGCATAGAAGTTTTCCTAAAGGAAACTCTATTCAGCCAGGCTGCATAGAAGTTTTCCTAAAGGAAACTCTATTCAGCCAGGCTGCATAGAAGTTTTCCTAAAAGAAACTCTATTCAGCCAGGCTGCATAGAAGTTTTCCTAAAGGAAACTCTATCCAGCCAGGCTGAATAGAAGTATTCCTGAAGGAAACTATATACAGCCAGGCTGAATAGAAGTTTTACTAAAGGAAACTCCATTCAGCCTGGCTGAATAGACACTCCCCTGGGGTTTTCTATAGATTATCCGTAGGACGTATTTACAAAATCGGGTATTTAATCTCCCTTTTCTCTATTCTTCCTTCGCAGAACTTTACAAAGACCACCCATGAAATTACCCCCACAAATGAAGGCTATACCCCCACCACGAGTTGGTACACCAAATTCGCCACCACCTCCGCCAGAGAACACGGACAACAATGGTGGCAATATGCCCAAACCCTATAGCCATCAGAATGGTGGTAATACCCTGAACATGGGTGGTGGCGTCATTGATACATCCAGTGGCGCCTCAACAAATACCACCAATACTAATACTACGACAAATGTGTCCGATACTAATCGTCAAATGAACAACGATGCATCACTGCCACCACCGCCGCCTCTGGACACACCAGAGGATAGTGGACCCAAGACGAACAATATAATGCATCACAATAACAATAGCACAAACAAGAATAATCCAGCACAACATATGAACGATGAAGATGATTTACCCCCGCCTCCGCCACCACCTGCAATGAATGATGATTCGAATTATGCCGTAACGGAACTTTAAGCAGAGTGAACTAATCAAAATAAATGTTATATCAATCATGCAATGGGTGATCGTGAAATGTAGAGGGCGCTCTTGATGTTGACAGCCAACAGACAAAAGAGAGTGCGAGAGAGAGAGGAACCCATTCCCCTAGGAAACCAAAAAAAAAGCAAAAGAAAAACAGAAAGTTGTGGTAACATTTTTTGTAGTTTATAGATAATGAAATAAGAAAAACCCAAGGATTTTTTGTAGCAATAATATAAAAGAGAAGAGGAATCTACCCATAAATAAATACAGACACACACACACAAACTCTCAACACAATATCAGTTATCCTGTGGAAATAGTTATTCTATTGAAGAATAGGCGGAAAAAGAGAAATGTGACTCGTTAAGAGTTGTTCTCTGTTTCAAGTTCTAGGAAAACATGAAATGGTTACTGGAGATTTCCAGGATTCATTCACACCAACAAACACGCACACACACACACACAATGCCACTATTTGACGGGCTGGGGACCTAAACAATCATCTTCATCTCAACCTTCATTTGCATAGCCATGATCTTATGATGAGCGTTCTTTTTCTTTGCAAAAGTAAAAGATCCAAAAGATTCGTTAAATCTACTACATTTTCACATATCAATGTTAAGGTTTTAGCCACCCATGTTAATCTTCTAGCCAGTGAAAGAATAGTTGCTGGTTTTGAATCGGAGAAGAAAGACAAATTGTTGGAAGTTTTTTTACATAAGCCTAAGCCTTACACCGAAGAGCATTGGCCAGTGTCAGAGAACATTTTTTACCGTTTCAGTATCCTCCTCTTTTTGACAAAGCCTGCAGAAGTCGGTGAGTTCACCATCTTGCAGTGAACCGTAATTTTTATAAGGGAATTTGTTCTGTTTCGAGAAAGCGTTGGCCAAATTGTCTTGAGAGGGCACATCACCTATCATTTAGGCAGGACTTTCCCGAAGTAATTTTCCTATATTATTCGAAAGATGTAGGGTAGAGCGGACTGAATCGACTAATTCACATATCGACTGACTCAGATCCGCATCTTGTTTTTTCATTAGCGAATATGTTGCGATGGCCAGGAATCCAACACAGGAACAGGAATCAACGACATAAACATGTCAGGTGGTCTACACTTCAAAACTACCAGAGATTTTATGGTGCTTGATTTGAGTGTTTTCAAGTCTACCTGACCTGGTGCGTGATTGGAGCGTTTTCAAGTCCGCCTGATTATCGACGTATATAGACACCATATAGTGAAGTTTATTGATTCTATCTGAAAAACAATGAAGTCGTTGCTTGAAGGACTCTCTCTACTAATATTTAGGCTATCGTAAAGGAGGATCAGTTTTATACCCTGAACCACCTAGTAGTAAGGGTATTATGTCTTTGTCCATTTAATTGTAACATGGAGAAGGAATCGAGATAGACCCATAGTTACTCTTGAGGATCTTCATAGAATCACTTTCTGAGTCGATTAAGGCATATCAGTCCGCCTGTCCGTCCACCTATGTATTCTTGTGAACAAAATGCAGGTCGCATTCATTATCCGATTGAGATGAATTTTCCAAACGATATTTGTTTGGCCCAAGAACGAGCCCCATTGAAATTGGTGAGAATCGGTTCAAATTTAGATATAGCTCCCATACACATCTTCAACTGATTTCGTGTTAATTGTGCCCCAAATACCCAATATAAGTCCAAATGACTTGCATTTTGGCACATCCCATCGAATTCGGTCTAGAAACAAGTACATGAAATTTAGGGAAAATCGGTTTAGATATAGCTTTTGCTCCCATATATATGTTTCATCCGATTTGAGGTTTTAAGTCCCTCACATGCGTAATATGACTTCCACAACAATAATCTTTGGTACCAGAAATAAGTGCCTGAAATTTAGTCAAGATTGGTTCAGATTTGGATATAGCTTCCATATATATTCAACCGATTTCGGGTTAATTGTGTACCAAATGGCCAATATTAGTTCAAATGATTTGAATGTTGGCACATCCGATCGAATTCAGTCTAGAAACAAGTACATCAAATTTGGAGAAAATCGGTTCAGATATAGCTATAGCTCACATATATATGTTTTTTTTTTATCGAGATCGGATCAGATTTGGATATAGCTCCCATATATATTTCTTTATCCTATATCAAGTTTAATGTGCACGAAATGGCTAATATTAGTCCAAATGACCTGAATTTTGCCAGTTCCGACTGAATTCATCCTAGAAACAAGTACTTCAAATTTGGTGAAAATAAATATAATATGGAGCTATAGCTATATCTGAACCTATAGCTATAGCTCCATATTTATCCGATCAGTCCAAATGGACAGAATTTTGGCACTTCCGACGGAATTCAGCCTATAAGCAAGTGCTTTACATTTTTGGTGAAAATAGGTTCAGGTATTACTTGAACCGACTAGAAGTGGACTGCTAAAAATCCAGATGTCCCTGTTCAGTATGTAAGAGCTTTTAACATATTTCACACATCCTACCTCCATGAATTGAATATTTTTCACAAGTTTTTTTTGCAACTGCTTTTAGGCAAACTTTCTAATACTACAATCCGGTTCTTTATTGAAATTTCTTACGTTAGAAATGGTATTTCTATGATTTCTTACGAAATTCGTTATATTTGAAATAGATATTTCTATATAAATTCATGGCATCTTCAAGAGGCTTATCAAAACCCATATGATTCCTTAAAGATCTTCTAAAATTCTTTCATTGATATGTGAAAAAGAGTCTGTAGAATCATCCTTCTCATGTACATTAATAAAAAAACAAAACACCCGAACAATACAAAATCTATTAAATTAATTTATCACAATTTGAGACATTTACCAGTTACAGGCTGATAACATTTTTTTTCAAAATCAGCAAAAGTTGATTATCATCATAATCACCATCTGATCGAATCATTGATCAGACCTATTTGTAATATGTTTGTAGATAATATTTATTTATAATAATTATTGAAAAAAAATATCCTTGGTCATACAAGGACGTGTACAAATAATAAATTTAACAAAAATTATTAAAACAAATATCGAAACAAAACAAAAAACATTACATTACAATGCATACATTGACAGCATACACGCATACAAACATACATAAATATTTTTTTAGATGGATCCCAACCCAAGAAAAAAGAAAATTATGTCCGCTTTTTTATGATACAAACAATATTGAAGAATGTGGGGAATTGCGAGTTAATTAATGGGTTAGATTGAAAATTGAAGTTGCACTTATTTCAAGTATTTGAAGTTGCCATTTAGGAACAACAATTTAGTTATAGCTTTTTAATATTTCCACTCTGTAGAGAATTGAGTAATTCACAGTGGTACGAACTTCTTAAAATACATATTTCGGACTATTTTGATAAATGTCATTTCAAATAACCCAAAAATGACATATTTGTTAAATTTCGCCAAATTGTTCGTAAGAAAAACAATGTTTTGAGAAAAAAATAAAAAAAGGAAGATAAAATACTCCATTAAGGCTAAGATTGAAATCTTTAAAGATGCAGAATATTTATTTGCTGTAGTAGACGATTTAGAGAGGGCAAAATATAAATAATATAATTTATGATCAACATCAGGTAATTGCATTTACTTTTCTCGCTGATAACCACATTTTGAATATCAGACTCGAAGGAGAACAGAAAGCAGAATGTGGTGATCAGCGAGAAAAGTAAATTTAATTCCCTGTTGATGATGATAAATTATGGTCGAAATATCGTAAAAATAAAAAACAAATTTTTTTAATAATTTTCACCTGACCTCAAGTTTTTTTTTAACAATTTCAAAGAAATCAGAAAAATGCATGCAATTGTGTTCAAAATTAATACTATGGCCACCCAAACATCTTAAATCTGGCGGTACAGTTATATGAGGGTTAAATCAAAATGGACCATTTTCAATACAACAAGTAAAAGTAGCTAAATTCAGTCTGGCCGAACACACAGATAGTCGGATATCGCTAAATCAACTTAGAATTTTACTCTGATCGAGAATATATATACTTTGTTGTGTCTGACATGAGTATTTCAAGGTATGGCAACATCTACGGACCAGTATTGGCTTGTATGTTTGGGATACCATAGAATATTTTGTTGCAAAATGGTTAGGCTTAATCCTTTTATTGTTGTTTTTATAAAAATGCGAATGGCGCCCAATTGTTCGTCTGAATGGAAAAAATGTAAGTCCAAGAGAAAAAAATGGTCTTTTATTGAAAACGCAATTAAAGATCATGCTTTTATCTGCATAGAGTTGTCATATCCAGTTCTCTTTGAACTAGGTTGAATTTCTAGTTCCTAGGTTCCATTTAGTTCAATGGCTCCTTTTCGTTTTATTATATCCTCAGTCATATGGTTATAGAGAGGGTATAAATTATTCGATACGGCAAAAACGTGTCTCATCGAAATAACGGTTTTTTATAACCTAGGGCTCTTTGGACTAAATCCGTTTCAGGACATTTGAAGCCGATCTACCGATGTCAGTCCGCCTGTCTGTCTCTCTGACTAGTGCGCACGATAACTCTCGAAGGGAGTATTCGATTTGATCCAAACTTGGTACATCGTAATATTATTGTCAGGCTTAGATCGAGTTCGGAGATGGGCAATATCGGTCCACTCCTTCTGGTACATCCCCCACAAAATGTTAACTTTTTCAAGGAAATATATTTTTCTGCAGAGAAAGGATAATGCGATTTTGCTCCAAAATTTGCATCGACGCTAGGTCAAGTGCGAAAATAGACAAAATCGGTCCACCCCTTTAAGTACCTCCGGCACAGAGGGTCAACATTTTGAATAACTATAACTGTTATAAAATGTGATGTAATTGACAATTGGACTCGTCTTCAAATTACACACATCACAATATTTTTATTAACCCAAAGTTCTCCTTAAGATGGATGGAATGTATCGGTCCACTCCTTCTGGTACCTCCCCACAAAGGGTCAAAATGTTGAATATTCATGAAGCTCATAAAACTCCAAATTAAAATACGATTCCATTTAGACTTTGCGCGTCTCAATATTTTTTGGCAACACAGGATCTGTTATAGAAATGGTAGAGATCGGACCATTTCTTGTGGTACTTCCCCCA